GTGTGTGTGTGTGTGTGTATGCAAATGCATACATTAAACAGGAATCTGTCCTCCTCATAAGAGAATATAGTTTAAAACATTGATTACCAAAGCCTTGACTGGAAGGCCATATTTGAGAATAAAGTGCATAGAATCAGATATGACCAGTTTTAAGGAACTAAAATTGACTTTATCAAACCAGTAAAGCACCCCCAAACCAGCCTGGTCTCTTGCTGACAGAAACAGTTTCTAGCCTTACAGGTGAGTGAGGATGGACACTTTCTGGCAGACCCAGGAAACTTCAAATATAAATACCATATGATTTCACTTATATGTGGAAACTGAAAACCAAAACAAAGGCACAAACAAACAAGAAAACCAGACTCTTAAATACAGAGAACCAACTGCTGGTTGCCAGAGGAGAGGTGGGGGATGGGTGAAATAGATAAAAGAGATTAAGAAGTACAAACTACCAGTTACAAAATAAATAATTGACAGAGATGAAAAGTACAGCACAGGGAATATAGTCAGTACAAGGTAGTAACATTGGTGATTACGCTTCTCACGGTGAGCACAAAGTAGTATCTAGAATTGTTCAATCGTTATACTGTATACTTGAAAATAACACTATGTTAGTTACAATTCAGTAAAAAATTATTAAAAATAGATCTTGGGGACCTCAAGAAGAGAGGAATTCACCCAGATCTGTAGGTACTGCAGGCGAAGAATGATGGCAAGTCCTTGGCCTGACTTCCTTGTCTAGAGCGACTTTAAAAGTCTGATCTGACATTCTTTACTGAAAGTTCTGGCAAAGCAGACTTAAAAAGAGCCTATATGACCAATTGCTATTCTTGCCGCACTTACATAAGTAACCAGGCCAAGTGTAATGCGACTAGACTTACGTTAGGAACAAATTAATCCGACTGTGATTACATCTGCTAGAAACGGAGGTGATGGTAGAGAGAATCCTGTTTCAGCACAGAACTGTAGTGCACCCATTATCAGGCCCCAGTTCTAGTCACTGTCACCTACCTATAAACCAGGCTGGGTCCCCAGTTCTTTCTATTTCCTCCAGTAACTAGCTACAACTCTCCAAACTAATGTTTCCAATTTTCTCCCACCCTCTGACTTGGAATCACTAAGAACTCAAACTTCCCTTTTTCCGAAACCCCTACAAACCGAAGCGGATATAAACTTGCGAGAAATCACTGCAGTGGTTCATGCACGGGACACCTTTTCCCACCTGCGGCTGTGCGGGGCCACGAAGGAAGTTCACCAGAACACCCAGTGCCCGTCACCAGAGTCACCCCAATGGCAAAGCAGGAATTCATCAGAATCACACCCACTGCTGCACCATCTAAAGATGCTCCAAACCCAACATCCCCCCAAATCTCAACTGATCGCCCTCTAGACTCAAAAACAGATTTTGGAGTTTGTTAGAATCTAAACTTTTATTTTTGTTTCCTTAGAAGCGCTTCCTGTTAAAACAGCTAACTGCCTGCACCGTAGCGAGCCCTAAAAGAGATCCAAGCAGATGCAGGGTTCCTCGGGGCTGGAGGCAGGGACCAGGAAATAGGGAAGTCATTGTGAAGGGTACAGGATTTCTTTAATGAAGTCATGAAAATATCCTAAAATCATCTGTGGTGATGGTTGCACGTATCTGTGAATACACTAAAAATCATGGAATGACACCCTTAAAATGCAGATTCCTGGGCCTCCACCCCACAACTAGGTACACAAATGGTGGGGTGGGGGGGGGGGAAGAGTTCAGGGTTTAGCAAGAAAGGCGGCAGTTTGCACCTGCATGTGTATGATTCTCCACATCTTCCATCTTCCTCGAGGTGGTACCCTGCCTCCTACATTCAACAGGTATGAATACTTAATAGGAAAATGTGTTTTGTGGAAGAATAAACGAGCATGGAAAAGCACACTGGAATATGTCCTAGCTCGCCGCACCTGCAGCAGCTGCTGGGGCCTCATTGGAGTTCCCGCCTGGCTCCACCACTCCCGGCACAACCACATGCCAGGTACTGCATAAGCTCCTGGAAAATCCTCCAGATACCACCTCTCTCGAGGGGAGACAGTGAGTACCTAAGAACATTTCCAGTGGCGGCATCGCAAGGGCCACATGAGCATCCGTTCTACCCACCTGACGCCCAGGACACACAGCACACACACTCCTTACGCCAACAAGGTCTAGCACTCTGGTCCCCTAGACTCTGGATGTTGGAGGGTCTACTCACCACTCTTCCTAGTTTGGGATCCATTGGGCTGGAGTTCTGTAGCCGCTACCAATTCCCCTGGGGCTCAAAGGAAAGGGGAAGAGGTCTCATCTAGGCCCTCAGCTGGCCGTATTAGCTATGTCTCGGCAGATGGCCTGTCTGTGCCCCCACCCCTGCCCCCAGAAGGAAGACGAGGCTGGACTAGTGGACCTATTCACATCTGGAAAACAAAGAGGCTTCAGACATACTCATTCAATGTGAAGGCAGAGGAAGAGACAATGCATCTCATACGCACAGATAATGGGAGGAGATAGTGGCCCGAAGTCATCTGATGTTACTGAAGAACAGCAGGGCAGCTCCGGCTGTGGGTGATGCAGCAGGTGCTTCATTGGGCACGCGCGGAGGGCATGAGCCTTGAGAGGAGTGCCTGCGCCCAAGGCCAGCAGAGCTGAGACAGACGCAACAGGAACACGGCTTGTTGCCGTGAGCAGGTGTCAGAGGCTCTGCTCGGTCGTCGTGGGCCCGTGTGATGAATGCTACGTATGAGCTAAATTGGCATTATAGGCCCTGTGTTAGCCTGCTCAGGCTGCTGCAAAGACGTACTGCAGACTAGGGGTGGCTTAAACAACAGAAATCTATTCGCCTCCAGTTCCAGAGCCTGGAAGCCCAAGATCAAGGTGTTGGCAGGGTTGCTTCCTTCTAAGGGCTGTGAGGGAGAACCTCCTCCTGGCCTCTTCTGATTGCTGGCTGGTTGGTGTTCCTCATCTTGCAAACACATCACCTAATCTCCGCCTTCATCCTCACATGCTTCTCCCCATGTGTGTCTGTGTCCAAATGTCCCCCTTCCGTAAGGACAACAGTCATATTGGATTAGGGCCGGCCCTACTCCAGTATGGTCTCTTCATAATTAATTGCATCTTCAAAGACCCTAGAGCCTAATAAAGTCACATTCTGAGGTACTGGGAGTTAGGACTTCAACGTATGCATTTGGGGGGTGGGGGGAGACACAACTCAACCCCTAACAGGCTATGTCTCCACATCACTTCGAGAGATCTTTCAAAACACACAGACCGTGAATCCGGATCTCCAAGGGTTATCGTCAGCAGGGTTGGTCCCTGATCTCTCCCACATGCATGGTTGGGGCCACAGGACCATCTCCATCAAAGATTTGGGTCAAAGTCACACCGTTTCCTCTCGAGTAGGCTTTGGCCACGACCACCTGTTACTCCAAGGAACTTTTCTTCCTCAATAACAACTGTTCAAGGTATGGATTGAAGCAGCCTTTTCAGAAAGGCCATTTCAAAGAACACAGGTCAGTGGAATTCTGCAAACCATCTTTTTAGGGGCCATTGTTGTAGGCCACAGAGTAACAGGTTCTCCTAGACATAGGTGATTTACGATCCTGGCCATGAACTCAGAAGGAACGGACTGAACCAGGCTCTGCTGAGAGCCTGAGGTGGCCCACAGTCACATGTCGATGGGAAATGGTGCAAAGGAAAAGGAAGGAAGGCGTGAACACCATTTGATCGGGCTTGCTTCCCGATCCCCACACAGCACGCTCCCTGAAGCCACAGAGGCTGATGCTGATGTTAAAATTAGCTCTGACAAATGAGTAATAAAGCAGGCTCCACGAATCCTTCCCCTGATGCTATGCAGTCTTTATTTCTCTCTGATTGCCTTGGGACGAATGTCATGACATAATGGCAGTGCAACTCCCAGTACGTTTTCCGTCTCCTACGGAGGGACGGGAATGGGAGCCAGGCACATCCCTCGGGCGCAGTGAGGCGTGGCCACGTGACCTCCTGCTAAGAGGCAAAGGTTTGGGACTGGAACTAAGTCTGCACTGCGCCTGAAAGCACAGGCTGAAATGCGGCTGCGGCTGTTGGAGAAGAAACAGGGCGGAGAGAACCGGGCCCCCAAGGGCAGAAGAGCTGCCCCAACAGGCCAGGCTGCCTGTGCAGGCTTGACAAGGAGAAGGGCGCCAACAGTCACAGTGGCAAAAGCTCCGGTTACTGTGATCCGGCCTATGTCCTCACTCATTCATGCGGTTAAGGATTCTGACATATCTGTCATCTTTTCCTGACACTGTTAGCAAAAGTTACAAGGGCAGAATGAACTTGACTCTCCCTCGGTCACCTGGAGACACTCAGGTTCCTTCAGGTTGGAAAGGCTCCTCTCAGCTCATTCTCATCCGGGCGAGGGGGTGGCCCAGTGAGTTCTATCTTTTTCTACATGAGACCAGGGGCTTGTATTTTTGTTGGCGGCCAGCTTCCTGCAGTGGAGCGACGAAACAGGGCAAGCTTTGGATTCCGGCAATTCGGGGGCCTCCGCCAGGCACAGAACCACTTCTGCAAAGCTTATTGATGAACGCCATCTCGTCAGCACCGCACAAAACTCCATTCCCTGACTAGAAACCAGAGTTAAAGCACAAAGACCCCGAGCGAGGTGGCTCAAAGGACTGAGCCACACGAGTGTCCCCGGTGAGCGAGTGGTGTCAGCTGGGGAGAGGGACAGGGAGACGGGGAGGGAGATGACGGGCTGCGGGGGGGTACGGGCTTCCAAGGACACTGCAGAGGAGAACCGGGGCTCTGAGAACCACCTCCCGTGCCACCATTCTGCCCTATCCGGTGTTGGGTGGGAGGACCCAGTGAATAGCACCGCCACCCCCGGTGTGGGCTGGGGAGAGGACGCAGGGGCCAGCCCCGCCCGGCCCCCTGCGGCCCCTGGGACCAGCCACGCCCCCGCACAGGGCAGGGCGCCCCGCCAGTGGGTCCGATGGGCAGGAACTCTCCCAGAGGCTTCATTTTTACTTTTTTATTTGGCAACACATACTGAGAACAAATAATCCTTCCGGTTAGGTTTAGGTTTTGAGGAATCACAATAAAGAGAAGACAGGAGACACCAGTACTGGTTTCGGGGCTTGAGACAAGGACAGAAGCCACACGAGGGTGAAGGATCAGAAGGGGTGGCCCCTCGAGGCATCAGGTGCCCCTGACTGAATCTTCCGAGAGCACGCGGGCCATTGTCAGGAGGCAGAGACGGGACAGCAAAGCACCAAGAGCTGTGTGCGGCCCCGATGGATGGCAACCAGAACCTCCTACGGAGCGTGTGCTTTTAGAGCCCGGCTATTCTCTGCAGACCTCACGCTGACCACCTCCAAGAACCTGGCGGTTACTCAGGCCGTGCCAGACAAGAGGGCGAGGAGAGAGAGACACGCTGCGCTTTCCTGAGCGGCGGGGACAGAGCGAGGACAGGGGCGGGACTCCAGGGCCAGGGGCGCCTCTCCCTTCTACAGCCGAGACACTTCATACAGGTACGCAGCCAGCATTTTCGTTCCTTCTATGTAGTTGAGCCTGATGGAGAAGAACAAGCCGTCGCGTCGGCTGCCGTCCAGAGGTCCAGGCGCGCGCCCGGCATTCTTTTTGGGAGTCCCACCGTCCCAGCTTGCTGGCCTTTCGTTCCACTGGCCTCCAGAATTTGGGCATGTGGTTCTCAAGTGTGGGTTCAGCCCAGCTGCCCCACTAGGAACCTGTCCTGGTCGTGGTCTAACAGAATATACGGGGTCCCACACAGTACTTAAGAAGAAAGCCTCTCTTTGATCACAGCCCCTCCCTTTGTTGGGATAAGAGGCCTCCCCTTCTGCCCGGATACCTACGTCTCTGTCCCTTCCCTCTGCCGCTGTCTTAGCCCGAAACTAGCCCACCCTGCGACCCCCCCCCCCCCCCAGGGCTCCTGTTCTCTGTCCTTCTCGGCTCTTCCACACTGCCCATGGGTCCTCCCAGCCTGCCTGGGCCTCTCCTCACTGCGCTAACTCAGGGACCACCTTCCATCCCTGCTGGTTAAAGAGCCCCCCTCATGTCTGCACAAGCCAGGAACATATAGAAGGGGCCTAGGAAGCCAGCAAGGACACTGATCTTCCAAGCAGGCAAAGCGCGGAGGCTCTTTAGGAATCCTAGATGACGTCCTGAGACAGACACAGAGCACTGGCTGAACCCTGCTGTGAAGAACCCTCACCTCTCCATGGCCCTGTCCCTGCCTTCCACCGGAAGCGCTCACTACCCCAAAGACGATGGTAGCAAGCAGAGCACTGGCCTTGGGGTTGCCACAGACCCCGGCCCCCCCTGCTCTCCAATCAAAGCAGCCAGACAGGTGGGGAGGAAGCAGGCGGGGAGGGAGGTGGAGGGGAGGGAGGTGGAGGGGCTGGAGGGCACACTGGGGGCTCTCCCGGGTTTCTCTCGCTGGCAGCCATGAGGAAATGAACCCGGGGCAGGCCGGAGGACCCAGAGCCTCACCTGTTGAGCTTTTCATTCTGGGAGTGGGCACCATCATCTGCTGAGCCCACAGGCAGTAGCATGACATTCTTCCCAGTAGCCTCCTGAAAGGTCAAAGTCACAGGAATACTGCCGCCTTCCCTGGTCAAGTCAGGCTCGACACCAAACACTGGGGGAGAAGAGTAAAAGACATGGTGAGCTTACAAGCGGCGAGGCTGGGATCCACTGCACACTTACTACCCAGCAACGTGAGTCCAAGCCCCAGGTGCGTCTCGGGGCCGGCAGCCCCACTCTCAAGGTCCGTGGGGGACATGGTCCCGCTCACACTGGGGGCTCTCTTCAGGGCCCCTGCCTGCGTCCCCAGGAGAAGTCTCACCTGTTTTCAAGGCTCTTCTCCCAGCCATGTAATGTGGGTGGTTGAAGTCAGACACCCAGGGCTTCCCACCATGGCCCATGTACACTTTGAACTTGTTGGGACTGCGCAGGTCAGCAAATTTCTTCGTCAGGTAGCTTGTGACCTGAGTCACAAACGAGACATAATGTATTCTAAGCCCGGCACCTGACCCAGTGCTAGAAATCTCCTCTACAGCAGTCTGTGGTGGGTCTAGAGGGGGCCTACAACCAGTCTACGGTAAGTCCACCACGAGTCTACACTGAGTCTACAAAGAGTCTATGCCGGGTCTCATCTGCTGTGAAACACTGAGCACAACTATGGTAACAAAAAAAAAGGGATTTTATCAAGAAACAAAATCCAGCAATTTGAAGGTAAAAGGTAATGCTTTCATTTCAAGCAATTCACCCTTTACACAGACGTTCCCATAGGATAATATTTAAATATCAAATCTTTAAAAAATGTCCCTTGATTTGCTTTACAATATTCATCACATCTGGACCAGAAGTGGAGCCCGGTGCTGACTGGGGCACATCTGATGACAAAATCTCAGGCCTCAGTTTCCTCGCGAGTCCTTGAGGCCATCTCTCCGGGAAGCCCCGGATGAGGGCAGGGTGACTGCCCCCAGTGCCCCCCCGGAGCTTACCTTCTGGAATCGCGCCCTTCCACCCCTCACACTGGCCCAGACGCAGCTCCTGTGGATTCTCACTTTAACCTACTTGGCCTAAAGTCAGCCTTGGACCTGAAGCCTTACGATGAGGTCAGGGGTCAGGTTTTAGCATGCCTCAGCAGCGACAAAGGTCACACGTGGGACTTTTTATATGGCCTTTATCTTTGATCAGTTTCTGAACTGCTTATTCTGGTAATTACTGGGCTGGCAGGAGTCAAGAAGCGGGGAAGTACGGGTCTGGGGTTCAGTGCTCTCCTAAAAAGTCTTTATGCTCTGAGTCTCTGTCGTGGAGGAGCCCCCTCCCCGCGTCCCAGCTCCGTCACATGCCTGCTTGCTGACAACTTCTGGAGTCATGTTTGGCACAAGCCTGATGGAGAACTTGCCGACCACTTTCCTAGGAATCACGGTCTTGGCCCCCGACCCAGAAAAGGCGCCTTCAATCCCATGGAGGGAGAGGGACGGGTACCGCCATCTGTGCATCAGGATGTCTTTCTGCAGAAAACAACAAAGTGCGTCAGGGGACAACACTGTCTGCTTACGAAGGAGACAGCAACGGCATCTGGGAAGTTCTTCCTAGTGGCCCGCCGGCCTGGGACCTACACAATCACAGGCAGGCAGTACAGACCCTGGAGGGCTGAGAGACGAGCCTGCCCCAGATGTGCTCTGGTACTGGCTTTGACGCACCATGAAGAGGGGGGCTCTGCCACACTCAGAACAGCCTCAAGTGTGGCATCCTGGCCTCACTGCGGCTCAGGACTGCCGGTGACTAAGAGCCACGGGCTTCCCACCAGCCCCACAGAATTCAGGGGTAAGTCGTGGTCCCACAGACCTCAGAGCTCCTCTAGAGCCAGAGGCACCAGGAACCAGGAGGAAGAGGGCAGCACAACGCAGGCCACCTGTGAGCTCCCCGGCCCCCAGGGGAACAGAACGCAGGGGTAGTTCCTACTGGGAGGAGAGCCAGGGCCATCCACTGAGTCCTGGGCCCAGTGACCATGGACAAGCATCGCCACCCTCTGCCAGGGGGACTGGCACAGAGCAGGCCCTCATCTCTGAACGTACGACTGATACCACCGCCTCTCACACCCCCTGCACCCCAGCAGTGGCACAAGACAAGTCAAAAGAGGACACGTGGCCACCCGACAAAACAGGCTGGCGAAGAGAAATGTGACAGGGCCCCGGGGCCGCTCAGGGACTCAGCCACCTAATGTGTGGACTTCCATTTGTGAACCAAATAGGGTCAGTGAGACCTAGAAGGGAGACACGCGGCCCGAAATGCAAACACCTTACACAAACACAGACACCAACTGGAAGGCAACAAGGCCGGAGCAAACTGAAGTCTGTTCTTTCCCAGATGTGCCCCTGCCCCTGACTAATCTCTCCCGGCCTCAGGCCCCGAATGACAGCTGCCCATGAGGGCCTTCTACCCCCCCCCCCCCCGCCACCTGCGAATTCTTGCCCCGCTCGGGCCCACCAACTCTCCCTGGTGTGTGGCCTGCTTCAAAGGTGACCCACGCCCGCCCGGTCCCCATGCCACCAGCTCCAGGCTCTCCCCTGCAGCGGCACAACTGGTCTCCCCGCCTCACTGCACCCGCTCCAAACCTGCAACACCTCTCCACCGCCTGCCCACAAGGGAGGTCTGATCGGCTCATCCCTCTGCTCCAACCCATCCGTCCACCATCTTCCAGGAGAGCACATGAGCTCCTTGGGACACCACAGGGCCTCACGCCAGGCCTTTTCAGTCTGAATCCCAGACCTCCCCCGGCCAGCCCTCCCCACGAACAGCCAGACTCCCCATGCCCTGCTCTGCTGCTCATCCCTCCCGACCCCCACAGGCCTCCCCACTCCCAGGCACACAGTGCTCCAGACCCTGGAGTGGCCTCCACACTCTTTCACACTTCTTTGCCCATTTGTCTCCTGGAGAGATGAAACTCATGGGCTGGGCCTGTTGCTGCAATTCAAATGGGCCTTCTTGCACCCCAGGGCCTGTTGCTGCAATTCAAATCACGGCTACATCAGATGTAAACTTATACGCAGGCCTCACAAGCCAGGAACCAGACTACTTAAGAGAAAAATCCTAACACAATTTTTTCTCAATAGTTAAGTAACCACTTTGTGCAAATGCTTTCCACCTAGGTCCCCGGCTGTTAGGGATGCTTTCAATCATCTCTGGGCCCAGCAGTAAAACATCATTCTACAAATGCAAATCAGGCAAAAGCTACCTGCTACTATGTGTCCTCTGCATACGTTCTCCAGCTCCTAAGTTGTCAAAAGTCAACATGTGACATTTTTTAAAAATCTCCCAATTCCAATTCCAAGCCTGGTAACGTGCTGCTTTCCAGTGTTGGTACCATCTGAGAGCTCTGGGGCACACGCATATGCCCAGATCTCTGCGGCACCTCTGGCTCCTGCCCACGGTGGGAGGCCTTGCGAGCGGACAGACCGGGGCGGCAGGCAGACCCGCGGAGGCACGCACCTTGCAGCTGTGCAGCAGAGTCTCTGCCCCCACGTCCCGGGTGTACTCCTCCAGGTCAAAGTCGATCTTGTCGTAGAGGCCCAGCTCGTCCTCCGTCACAGGGGCCACTGCCTCGTTGATGCCAGGGATGAGGATCTTTCCCTTCCTGTCCACCAGGGAGCCTGGGAGGGCACAGAGGAGGGGCGCTCAGCAGGCAGGCAGGCAGCACAAACACAGCAGCGCTTACCACGGGGGCCCGGAGCCCACCCCCCCATCCCCCCACCCCGGGGCTGAGGAGGACCAGGAGCTTCACAGTGACATTTCCTGGGCATGCAGAGCACTCGAGCACTGCCTAGGAACAACTAGTTCAATATTGAAACAACCCAGTGAGGTGAGCAGTATCATCTTCCCGCTTTAACACAAAGAGACAGAGATGCAGAAGGGTGGGTGACCTGTCCCCTGTCACAGACCAGGAGACAGACCGAGCAGAATGCCTCCTGCAGGCTTCCTGTAAAAGCCACTACACTGATTAGTATTTCTTTTTTAATCCATGTTCCACAAGAAACTGGCTGCTCCCAAGCGAAGGAGGCCAAGACAAAGAGAACAGAGTAGACTCCCGTAACAACAGGCTGCACGTATGGCCGCCGCTACCTGAGAGGGAAGGAGACCGAACTTAGGCAAATCCTGGGGTGAGGCAAAGTTACATCGAGCCCTAAACCAGCAGGATGCTGGCAGGACTGGGCTGGGCCTCCCTCCTGCAGAGCTGAGCATGCAGGAGCCCTGGCTGGGGTGCTTAACAATGTCAAACAGACCGAGGCAGGTGGCCTCCGAGGGACAGAAACTACAACTGTGTCACGTGATCCTAGGGGCCAGCTCAGACAGGGCTGAACGGAGCCAGGGGCTGCCCTAGTTGGGTCCCAGAGACAAGGCAGGGTTTAGTGACACACGGAGGTGCCTGGGAGACAGAGGCAGAAATGAAGCATGTCCATCTTTCAAAGGGAATGGTGAGCGGGAGGAAGTAGCAACAGGGAAAGAGATGAAAGCACCAACTGCCAAGGACAGCCTGAAACAAGCCACTCCAGCTTCCCTCCCAAGTCACCAAGCAGCGACTGAAATCCGTGCTTACCCATCAACATGATGAGATCTGTCATGGCCTCATGCACCGAGCCCCCGTACACGCCAGAATGGAGGTCTTTGTCACTGCACTCCACCTGGACAGAAACAGAGACCCCTCTACCTGCTGCTCAGCGGGAACTCAGCCTCATCATGTGACAGTAAAGTGAACGAAGAACATTCACAATTCTCAAAATCAAAATCTGTTCCCTCAAGGAGCAAAGCAAAGCATTTCCTAAATTATAAAACTTCAGCAGCAACAAAAGAAATACTCTTGGCAACGCTGACCAGGGGGAAAGTCGGGGTGCTGACCACAGGTGAACGCACATGGCTTCAGAAAGACCCCGTGCTTTTCTGATGAAATGGGACACCCACCATGAAAAGCAGCCTGTAAGGACCTTGGGCCTGAGGACCTAGGGCCAGATCCTGCCCCCTCCCCCCCGGTCCCACTCATTAGCCTGTGACCAGGGTCAGGTTTGAGACCTCACCAGGCCTGAGTCTCCACACCTGTAAATTGGCAAGGTGGGAGCGTCTGACTCACAGCCACTGGGTTCTTGTGTCAGACTATTTGTAAAGTAGTCTTGAGAGGCGAAGCGCTCAGGGCAGCAATGAGGATGATTCTGGCATTTTCAGCCTCCAAAACACTCCCTCACAGGAACCAATCCGCCCTGTGTGCTAGGACCCACCCTCATCTGTGGAGGGGATGCAGGCTCAGCTGAGCATGGCCCTCCCGCTCTGCCCCTGCGCCCGGCTTCTGTGTCGAGCACAACCACCCAGTTCCCTCAAGATCTCCGGTCCAGGCAGACCTAAGGGGTCAAATGTGAACATCTTAATTTTTAACAGTAAGTCTTTCTGCAATGCTTTGCTTAAGTCAATCTTAAATGGGCTACAGCAGTTCATCTTTCCTCAACTGCTCCAAGGCAATTCTCCAAACACCCTGTAGCTTGAGGTGGCAGGAAATGGACTCTGGCTGGAGAATCTCGAAGGGTGAAGACCCAGCCTGCTGAGAAGCCTCTGGGCTTCTCCCTCACACGCACGGCCCCCTTCCTGGGACTTGCCCACTACACGCTACAGAAGGACAAGGGAGACTACAGGCTGGGAAGAGACACCATGAAACACAGAGAACTTGACGTGATACCTCAATGAAAAAGTAGCAAATGCCCCTGAGACCATATGTGATGCAGGGCTTCTTCTTCCCCAGCCAGTAATTGTCAGAAATGCAGACGTAGTCCACATCTTTGAAGAATGTGTCTTTACGGGAAAAAATCAGGTCATCCAAGCCTTCAGAGCCCGACTCCTCCATGCCTTCCAGACAGAACCGGACATTGACTGGAATTTCCTATGAAAGGGAAATGAGCATTGGGAGGCATTCAATTCTCATGTGCTTTTATTTCTTAGACACCACAGACAGGAAGTCACCAAATGCTCTGCAATCACAAATTTCAAATATTTAACTTCCTCCAGGCCCACCGCTCAGGCGGCCTGTGTGCGCCCTGTCGTGACCCTCAGTCCTCACGTGCTGGGCGGTGAGGGGACATGCACGGAGCCAGCCATAGTGACACCCTCACTGGGGACTCCTGCCAAGGACGCCACAGTGTGACCACGCTTCCTATCCACAGGGACCTCTGCACTCACCCAGCGCGAATCAGGAGTCCCCAGGGAAGCCCGAGCGGCTCTCTCCACAACACAGGTCACAGCACAGACAAAACCTGTCTTCATCTGCGCCAGGGACCAGTCACCACACCCACATGCCAGAGCAAGGAGGGGCCTGGTCCTATTTCCAGGCGCTCTGAACTATGACCCCCTCTCCATGCTGAAAGCCCTTCTCCCCAAGAGCTGACAGTAACCGCGAGGCGCCGCCGCCCACTTAGCTCCTGCTCTGCAGTTTCCCAGACTCCCCAGGCTGTGCAGTGAGGCAGGCGGCCCTTCCACAGACGAGAACGTGAAGCTGCACCCAAGCGAGGTGACTTGCCGAAGGTCAAAGAGGCTACAAAATGGCAGAGCCCCCACGTGGACGCAAATCCATGGAGTCCTCCCCACGACAGCCCTCTGCACCACCCAGCTCGCCTTCCCCTTTCTGTCTCTCAGATGAAATCTTTCCTGGGACCCTGGCACGTGGAAAGGATGTAAGTGGAGCTGCTCTGGCAGCTCTGCCCTGCACACAGCCAGCCTCCTTTCAGTCACCCCGGATCCCGGTGAGCCCTGGAGAAGGGGGAGTCTTCCCAGCCCCTGAGCCCAGTCAGTTGGAGGTTCTGAGCCCCGGCTCCCGCCTGTGCAAAATGGCACCTCGGACGGACCAGAGTTCCCGTCCCTCTTCAGATCTACCATTCTACCGTCTGACAAAAACGCTTGTCTGACCATTCTTATTTTATCATGGTACAAGATAAAACAATGCAAAAACTGGGTCTACACAATGGTCAGCATTAGGTTAAAAACAGTTGAAAAGATCCGTAAGTAACAAAATACAAAGTCTCTGACAGCTGGAATTCTAGGCACCCTGTTCCTCCCTAGTTTTCTATTTTACGAACTTTAGGCAGGAGCAGATATCTCGCATTAAGGAAATGTATCTTAAAAAATAAAAAATTTTCAGGAGGATAAAAACCACCCTGAGAAAGCTAGGGGTTGCCCACCACCACAGAGCCCACGACTTGGTCTCTAGGTGAGCCGTCGCAGAGGTGGAGCCCGTGGCTGAAAACTCGAATTTCAGGTGCTGGCTGGATTCCTGCTGAGTCATCAGTACTATGGCCGCTGGGCGGCTGTAAAACAATCACAGTACCTAAAGCTGGAAAACAAACCTATGATCTTATATCTGATCCCACTGTGCTGATGCGGTTTGGGGGGACCTTGCTTTCTCATAGTCCAGTGATCTTTGATCTTTATGGGCTGTTCTGGGGACAGATAGCCCTGCTTTGTATGGCTGTGATAGAGCCGGGCAGTTAGACGTGAAGTACCTGATTTGTCTTCTGGAAGGCTTCCAGGGCATTCAGCCAGCCGGCCACTGGCCCCTTATCATCGGTTGCACCTCTCCCATACAATTTGCCTAGAACAGCAATCAGCAAACTCAGTTACAATCACGATGAAATAGACAAGAAAGTGTCTTGTTGGAGCACAGCCGAGAGCATCTTAGCGCCACCACGGGCAGCTGTCCTGAGACCTCCTCTTCCAACCAGAAGCCCCGTTTTCATTCTGTCAGAGCCCCAAGTCCCCATCCTACACTACTGTGAGGCCCTGCCAGAGAATCCACCATAATCTAAGAGCAAGCCGCGTGGATGCTCCCAAGTTGCCCCCCCTTCTTCCAGCGGACACAGTAGTCCGCCAGCGCTCTGGTCCCTGCTGACCCAGGGCGTGGACTGCCGAGCCAGCTCCAGGGGGCACTGCCAGCCAGCTAGTTACTTCAAATCTACCTCCACAACCAGCTGGTAGCAGTTAAGGGTAGGCAACCTGGTCCTATGTCGGACCCACAACGCACCATCATCAAGAGAGAACTACAAATCTCACACAAGCCCAATTCTGACACCTAATTTGGTAAAGAAAAGAACAGGTTTATTATTTACTTCTCCAGGTCATCATTTTGAAAACCAAAGGATGTGGCACTGCTTCTCCTCCACCTAATTAGTCACAGGACGCCCCCACCCCCCACCCCACACAAACACTCCTGGGACCCCTAACAAAGGCAGGTGGGCACTGGCCACCAGGAAGGACACTCGGCCATCCAGCCCAGACCCTGCTCCCTGCCCTGTCATATGATGCAGAGCTCATCAGAGGGGGACCAGGCCGGAGGAAGGACAGCACTCGGGCTGAGGCGTGCTCATGGTTCAGTCCCTCTCTGGCCAGGTCTGTAACGGCCAGGCCTCGGACTTCCTCATTCTCAGCCTGTTTTTAATATTTGACAGTTTCAACATGACCACCCCAAAGCAGCATGACACTTCGAGCCATCGCTACCTTGGGAATTTCTTTCTATAAACTAAACTTACTTTTCACAAAAGCTACAGAGTTCTCCTAAAAAGCATCCTTATTCCTGTGACAAACACTGACTTGAATCGCTCACTCCAAAATGCCAGAACTGTGCTGGACAGAGGAGCACAGGGCGATATGCTCCGTCCCTCCCGGGGCCCCCCGACAAGGAGAGAGACAGCAGGCGGCCAGCTGACCACAAGGAAGCTCATCTGTGGCCTGAGGTGTTATCCCAGCTCTACTGAGGGTGCCTGGCTATGTGTCAGAAGCAGGGAGGGGCGGAGTGTGAGGCCTCCCAGAGGGGCAGTGGGTGACTGGTGCTGGTGTAGAAGCCGGGATCATGTGACAGGTGCCAGAGGAGCAATGAGGGGAGACGAGTAGGCAGAAGAACCCGCTGGGTCTCCCGAGAGGTGTCTGGGAGAGACACATCACACTGAGGTCATCACGTGGCCGGGAACAGAGGGGAGGAGGACCCAGCACTTCAACAAGCAATAGGAGCGCTCTCAGCAGGGGAGGAGTGGCGGCTGCGGGGCAGGCCCAGCAGGGACCGCAGGCCCACGGGGGCCGGGCGGGGTGAGGCCGACCTCCAGGTTTGTGGCGCACGCGGCACGGGAGGCGGGGGATCGCGTGCGGGAGGTCAGACAGGGAACAAGGGGGAGGGCAGGCTGGGGAGCTGAGGCACAGAATTCTGCTCCAGACCGTGGCAAGGGGAACAGCCCGTAGAAACGCGGGCCTAACGCTCAACAAGGAGCCCGGTGCAAAGTCAGCAATCGCGCTGAGATCACGACTGCAGTGCGGAACTGAATCTCCCCAGAGATGCTGCTGCAAGTGAAACGTTTCCTCGGCCGTGCGCAGCAACGGGCACGGCTGAAAGCCCCCCGTACCGTCGCGTTCCACCAAGGTGAAGGGCTCAGCCCCCCGTACCGTCGCGTTCCACCAAGGTGAAGGGCTCGCTGTCCCAGCCATCCTCCAGGGCCGCCGGCTGCACGTCCAGATGTCCGTAAATACACACGGTCTTCTTCTGCGGGTTGGAGCCCAGCTTGCCGAGTAAAATGGGAGGGAGCGGTATCTCAGAGCCATCAGGGAGCTAAGGGTCGAGAAGGAAGCAATCAAGGACAGCCTTTGTTTTAAAAATGTGGCGCTTATAGTAGACATTATTAAAATACCTGGAGTGTTTTTACGTGTTCTTATCAATCAGCCTACATTGTACAGTTCAAGAACACACTGAGTACTTAGACCGCATAAGGTTCACCGACTGTAGGCAGTCTGGTAAATTTTTAAAGGCTGATTTTTTAACTTTTACATTAATAACGTATTATGAAGACTAAGTTTGGGGTACAACTTTGCTCATTATTTTCTAAAATAATGGATGAAAACTACTACCATCCTAAAGCAGGAGATACACGTTTGAAATTCTGCATGAGGATCACAATTTTGCACATAGAAGGATGAAGACCAGAACAGAAGGGAAGGGAACAGAATTTGCAGCAAGCCACACTAAAGCCAGCAGTGAGCGCCGGTGTTCCTTCTAAGCTCCCTCCCCACGCCTAACCAGTCTCTGACAAGCCCCTAAAAACAGGGGTGGGGGGCAGGGTCTCAGTCAGGGCACCAAGTGGACAGGTACTTTAGGTAACGTGCCAGGCTGCTGGGATTCTTGCAGGATTTGTCTTTCCAGTGAACTGCACTCAGAAACGCTCACCTCAGTAACTCTTGGCAAGCCCACAGTACCCATGTGCAGCCCTGGGACTCAAGGTCGCCCACCCACGTGAACCACCCCCCGGGCTGGGTTCTCGCACCGCTTCCCGAAAGACAGCCCCAGCCATGAGAGGCAAAAAATCGTTCCTTGGACTCACTGCCCTGGTCACACAGGACATGTGGCACTGTGGTTGCCGCTGGCCCTCCACTGGCCTCAGGAGAATAATGAGTTTTAAATGACAGATTTTCTCTAAATAAATTTCTACTCAATATAGCTGAAAAACTGAAATACTTTACCATTTTTCTAAGATACCAAGATTTGAGCCCACAAATAAATTTGTACTGAAATTCAGGTTGCAAATTGCAAATCTCTGTCGAGTTATCCCTAACTACTCAGAACAGGGAAGAATGAAGTCTGGCTAGAAACACAGCCAAGTGCTTACGGGGCTACCACGCCCCCCTCTACTAGAGTACCTGTCTGGGCAGAAGTCTTTGACAAGGATTCCACGTGTCTCCCCCTTCTGCCCCGTCCCCACAGCCGTCACCCACAGGCCCTATTCTGTCCTCTGCACTTTGTTCACTTCTTCCCTCACGTCACTTCCTGCTCAGGAGCCATGACTGTCTCATTTCCTGAGCACTTCTGTCTAGAGGTCAGGCCCCCAGTGACCAGGTACCCCACATTTCCCAGCCACGCACCCTTTCCATCCTCCTGCCTGGGCAGCAGATAGGCCCGACTTGACGTTACCTGGAGCAGCCTTGGCAGTGGGCCTAACACCAAAGAGCCTGCCATCAGCCTTTCCCACAGTTCATGCCTGCCCACAAGCCTCGCCCACCAGGGACCCGGGCTCTGAGGTCCATCACTAGGACCTGGGCCCCAAGTGTCCTCTTTCCCCTGTAAGCCTGAAGATGCCCCGGCTTCTGCATGTACACGTGGTTACACCCAACTCCACTTCCACACCTGCCCCAAGTCATCATGGCTTCCTAAAACACGGAAAACTGCCACCACGTGAAGTGACTGGAAGAGAAGCTCCAATGGGCTGTCACCTCACAAGGATCCTTGCACAACTTTTCTAACAATGACAAAACTGTCAATTCCTTGGTAAAAAAGGGTCTTAAGTGATTCGAGAGTGTCGCAGTCACTTATCATTTGTGGAAGGCCCTTTCTGAAGAAATGCACTGCAATGTCAGTGTAAAATAGAATAAATCTATTGTAATGAAACAACTCTTGTAAATTATTTGCCACCTAGATTTCTTTTTTAATATATTAGGAAAAAAGGGAGGGGGAACAAATCAATTATGCTTCTACAAGAAAATAATACAAAGAAACTTGATTTATTCTCTCACAAGTGGGGAAAAGTGCCGGGAAGCTATAGTATATCCTAGGTTAATTTGTGGCCAAATGAAATCTCGTAAAACAATAATGGATTGGGAATCAGAAGACCCATGTTTGAATCTCCCTCACCATCAACTGAGGGGTGCTCAGTGGAGATAAAGCCCACCTGGGCCTCTGGGTTCTTCTCTTTATGAAAAGACCAGATGGGGCTGAATGTCCACACATAAAGCCCCAAGACTCTGATACCAGAGGACACTTAAATCACCAGGCAAGAGAACCGAGATAAGCCAAACCCTGTCATACCTTGCAATTTAAAAGAATATTACAAAATTGGAAAATATAGGACATAAAACCTGCCATTAGCATGGGACTTGAAATCGCCTGAGACAAAAAAAGCGAAATAATATACCATTAGTTAGATGGTTCGTTCTTGTCAGGAAGAAAATGAGCCAATGTCACCTGTCAGAATCCTGCAGTAAAGTGCAGTCAAGTGCTTACAGGGCTACCACGGCCCCACACAAAGTAGCTCTTTTTCAGGAACCAAGTCATACAAAAGTGCTTTTTCCACCAGCTGGGATGCAGGGGGCACAGTGCGGTGAGTGGGGGTCTTCATCACTTTTACCCCTACACAGACAGTGTGCAATTTCCTAGTCTGAATGCACACTGCTTTCTAGGGAGCAATCCCAGTGATTTCCTAAGAGTGGCCATGACATTTAGTTATTTCTTCTTCTTCTTCTTTTTTTTTTTTTTTTTAACTAGACTCCACGCCCAGCATGGAACCCAAATCAGGGCTTGAACTCACAACCTGAGATCAAGACCTGAGCTGAGATCAAGAGTCAGATGCTTAACCCACTGAGCCATCCAGGCGCCCCAACATTAACTTACTTCTGACTAACCTCAACAGCTCTCCCACCTGGAGAAAACTGCTGAGTATTATAAAAGCTTTGCCCCAATCCAACTGAGGAAATCATATAGTTCAGTATCCCAATCAGGCCTTTTCTGTTTGTTTTAAAGACAAGCAGATTATCTGAAGCAAAAGATGATTTAAGAATATGCTGGGTCCTAGAAGACTGCATGGCGCAGTCAGTTGAGCGTCATGATCTCAGGGTCATGAGCTAGAGCCCCATGTTGGGCTCCGCACTCAGCATGGAGTCTGCTTGAGATTCTCTCTCCCTCTGCCCCTCCCCCCAGCTCACTCACACACTCTCTCTCTCTCTCTCAAATAAATCTTAGGTAGGTCTGCTAAGTGGTTCTGTAATTCCCAGAGCGCCAGCACCATACCTTCTGTTTTCCAATATCTACCAATTCCACAGAGCCACCCAACTGCTTGATCTCCGCAGCGGCAACTTCCATCATCCTCTTGATTTCGTCTCTTTTCTCGGGCCATGCAGATACACTCTGGATGGCCACCCATTCTGCAAGTTTCTGTTTGTGGATAATAAGCAAGAAGGGATTCTGAAAAGGTGCTCCTTTAAGGAAGAAAGGTATTCATAAATTTACCAGGTTTCGGGCAGCCAAAGTTGACTTGCCTCCTGCAACCAGTCCATATTTAAACATGATGGCTAGATGTCCAAGAAGAGCTATAATATTTGCTTTTTAAGATTTAAAAAAAAAAAAAAAAAACCTGTCTGTATTGACCCTGTATCAAGAACTACAGCGTAACAAAAAACGTCAGAATGTGTTTTTAACCATTAAGCATGAGTGTGAAATGTACAAAGTTCTATAAATAAGTTTATAACTGAACCTAACAAAATTAAAACTGCAACAGACAGAAAATATCCAACATTTTCACAGTCTAAGTTAGTTACTCATGCTTACCATGGCCAAGTTCTTCAAAGTAAAATTTTTAGAATGAGAGCTAAAGATTTCATCTGAAATGTGTCTTCCAAGAATAACTTTAAAGCACAATTCTTTAATGTCAAGAAACAGATTTAATTTACATTACCAAATCATTTAAAACAGACGAAATGTAAAAAAAAAAAAAAAGTTAGAAGTTCTTTAGTCTATATCTACTACAAGAAATTGTAGATGGAGATTAAACAAAAATCTCTGATTAGCTCTGCTATTTCTAGAAACATATATACATATATTAAGACTTTCTGTCAAAAGCCAAAAGTATAACTTACATACTGTAATGAGGAGGCAGAAGAAAAGACCTCTAGATATCTTTGGTGTGGTGAGAGAGCTGTAAGATCTACTCTCTTAGCGAATTTTAAGTACATAACACAGTATTATTAACTACAGTCACCATGCTGTTATCTTCAATCCCTACTCATAGGGACTGAGCTTACTCATAACTGAACGTCTTTACCCTTTGACGGGACTCTCCCCATGTCCTCCCGGCCCCAGCAATCACCCTTCTACTTTCTGTTTCTGCACGTTCAACTTTTTAAGATTCCACATATAAGTGAAATCATGCAGTACTTGTCTCACTGTCTAGACAGTATACTTAATTTAAATGGCATAGCTCCTACTAGTTTCTTCAAAGTGTCTCTGAGCCCCACTGGATTAAACCTAATTTTAATATTTACTACAATAAATATTCCCTTACCTTAATGTAGCGATCCTGATTTTCATCGACATACTTAAACAGGGTAGTGAGGGCCGACATCTTTCAAGCAGACCGCACACCCTGAAGGTTCTTGGAAGGAAAAACCACCTGTCAGTCCTGCCTGCGGATGGGCCTGACTGAGAGGCAGTTAGGAAGGCACTTGTTTAAGTTGATAAAGGGCTGCTCCGCCCTCGATGTCATCATGAGGACACCAGGAAGCAGCAGAGAAGCTTGGGGAAGGAGTTGGGGGCCCAGGGTGATCTCCCATTCTTTTTCAGAAGGAAAATTATGTGTTAAAACGGCCCGTAACTGAAAGAAGGGTCTGAGCTTAAGACAATCTGATGAAAATTATAAGTAGGTAGTTCCTGGTAACGCTTATTTACCAGCACTTTAATTTTTTTTAAAGCAGACAGAGAACTTCCCATTTACTATTACCACAAAGGAAACAGTCACTCCAAGAATCCCAGCAAAAGTGTCACATCCTGTCTGTTACTGTCACAGACCCACAACGCAGCAAACAAAACCCAAGGAGAGGTAGATAAATTGTTTTAAAAAAGTTGATAATCTGAGCGCAGAAACAGTCAAAGGCAACATGTGATACCTCCACAAAGGCCTGATTAAGATAAAAGAACCTCCGTGGAACCCACAGCCTCCCTCCAGGGTGCATGTGAGACCCAATACACTCTGCTCCACCTTGCAAGTATAGGGGAAAGGAAGTCATCTGACCAGTCATCTTTAAAATGGGAATCAACAGGCAACAAAAAGGATTCTGGTTTGGGGACTTTCAAAATTGTGTCCAACCTCCGACTGATATTTCAAATTCCATCAAGCGGCAAGACTGGCCCGAAGCAGTAATGGGAAGAGCCAGACCACAGCCATACCAAGGATTTCAGAAATGCAGCTGTAGTCACAAGATCCTGTAACATCTAGGTAGTTCTAACGGCCTGTGGATCGACACACTGTAGTCACAGAGTATTTTTTTCTTGGTATGGGATTCCAAAGTGATTGCTCAACAGAGGAGTGACTGTATCTACAGTAACATCAGGCCTGGAGGCTGTTGAGGGGATTGAGGAAATGACCCTCAATCTGCGCGCAGTCGGATTTCAGTAAGGACAGGTCCAACCACTCAGTTCTCAGAGCCTCCTTCTTCCTCTTCAAACACCCACCCCTGGGCATAAAATACTTACAAACCTCCTAGCCTAGCCAGCTCAGCCTGCTTCAGCGGAGACTTTTATCTGAAAGACAGGACAGTCCACAAATGCTGAAGAGGCATTTCATGAGCACTAGTAAGTCAAATTTTCCTCTATCACCAATAATGCAAACTGAGAGGCTATCTGTGACAACACGCTACACTGGGCACGTTTCATTCGGGTCCCTGGTCATGAAATAATAACACAAATCCCAAGTTCACTGTGCATCCTTTCACCAGTGCAGCCAAATTAACCAATGACCTTCCGTTGATTCATTCAGAGATACAACTACCTAAGTTGCACTTTTACAAAGAGTAAACAGAGCGCCGGCCTGCTCAGCTCTCCAGGCCAAGTCCCCAGGGCTGGCTAAAAAGTAACTCCTTCTCTGAATTAGTAACCTAGTCAAAGGAGGTCAGGCCAGGGCCGTTTTCACCCTCCCGCTCAGCTCTGGGTTATTCTTGTCCCAACCCGCCCCTCCTCCCCCATCCAGTACCCAGACCCTGAAGGCGGGCCGCCTTCAATGCGCGGTGAAGCCCACTGACCAAGGTGCAAGCGCTGTGCTGGAGAGAACAAGAGCACACATTACGCTCCCAAAATAAATGCCAGGAACTCTAAAATTTCCTGTGGGGGGGGGTAACATAACTTAAATGATGAAGCTAGGGAGAGGGAAGGGCAAATGAGACTGGCAGCACCCGGAACCGTCTAGCAATACCCACGAATGACTTCTTTCGTTCGGAACGTCCCGACCCTTGTACCTCGGTAATTCGGCGCACTTCGTGGAGTCGGCAGACGCGGGAACCCTGCCCTTAAACCTGCAGAAGCCAGTGAAACGGGGGCAGGAACCGCCAAGGCGCCCACTCCGGAGCTTGATCCCGAACACGGGTACAAACTATCCTTCGCCACTCCTCCCTGCACACAGAGGAGCGACTCCTCGTGGCGCCGGGTCCGCTCGAGGACGAGCGTCCGGGCGCCCGCCCAGGCCGTGGGGGGCCCCGCCCGCGGCCAGGCCCAGGCCCATCTTCCCAAGGGGGACACGACTGAGCGCGCCGTCCCAGACCCGCACACTGCAACCTTCCGGCCTCAAATGCCGGCGGGACCCGGCGACCCCTGACCCCGGGCCTCCGCCAGAAGCTCCGCTGGACCTAGAAAGGCTCTAGTTTCCTGCGGGCCGCGTCAGGAGCAAGCGGCTGACGGTCCTCCGCGCGTCCTTCCCGCCGCCCGCCGCCCGCAGGGCCCCGGACCCTCAGGAAGGCCTTCTTCTAACGGGGACACCCTCCCTTCCCGTCCCTGCCGGCCACGCGGACCAGGCGGTGGGCCAGGCCGCGGCCCAGCTCCCACAAGCTGAGGCGCGACTCCGGCTGGACCCCGAGACCCACCCGCCTGGGCTCCGCCCGACTCGGCCCGCAAAAGTCCCTCACCGCTCAGCGACTGCCGCGCCGGTTCCGCACCACGTGCCCGGTCACGCCCTCGGCGCGGGCCCGCCTCCCGCCGCCCGCCTACCAATCCCGGGCCTCGCTCGGAGGGCCGGCGCGGCGTCCCGCCCTGCCCACCAATCCCCGGCCTCGTCCGGAGAGCCGGCGTCTCCCCGCCCCGCGACGCCCCGCCCACCAACCGCCGGCCTAGCTGGAGAACCGGCGTCGCCCCGCCCCACGTCGCCCCGCCCTGCGCCGCTCACCAATCACTGGGCTTGTTGCAGAAGCGGCGACGACCTGCCTCGCCCCGCCCCCCAGCTTTGGAGTCGCGCGGAGGGTGGGACTCTCCGATTGGATTCCTAACCTCGCCTGCTTCCTTCTTCCTGCGTAGTTCCGCCGGGCGGGGTCCCGGTCTGTGGACGGTGATTTCCCGGGGTCCCCGGAGGCGCCCACACCCGACCCTTGGGCGGCTCAGGCTGGTCCCAGGCGGTGCCACCGGCCGCAGCCTGGCCCTGGGGGTCCCAGGGCCCCACCGTCCCCCTTTCCGAGGGAGGAGGCGTTTTCGGATTTAAATCCTCTGATCCCCGGAGGTGATGACGGGAGAAGACCCACCATTTATTTATGCCTCTACCTTTTTAGCCGCAGGACCCTGGGGTAGTGATCATCTCCGTGAGAGGATTCCCAAAAGAATTTGGCTCAACCTGTACCCCTCCCCCCTTCTTTTTTTTTTTTTAAATAGCAGGCTTAATAGTTGCTGTAAATATTTTAAAATAAAATGACCCTCCCTTAAGTTTTCTATATCCCTCTCAGGATGTTGTCAAATTTAACTTTCCGTTGATTAAGTTCGAACAATGAGGGAATATTAAATACTAAGGTGTCCCAATTCTACTCCCCCTCCCCGTTAAGTCAAACTGTACAGTAAAGAGCTTTTACCTCAAGAGGAGAAATTTCTCTACATTCAGTAGTCTAGTATTCATTTTTAACTCTTTTTTTCTTGACTTTTTAAAAAATTTTAATTGAAGTAGAGTTGACATAAAATGTATCAGTTTCAGGTGTACAGTCGTGATTCAACAATTCCAATCATTAGGAAGTACTCGCCACCATGAGTGTAATTACCATCTGTCATCACACAAAGTTATTACAGCATTATTCCCTAAACTGGAGTTTGCATCTCTGTGACTTTTTTTTGTTTTTAATAACGAAGTTTGTAGCTCTTAATCCCCTTCACCTAATCTGTTCATGCTCCCTGCAACTTCTCCTGTGGCAACTGCTACTTTGTTGTCTACACTGATGAGTCTCTTTCTCTTTTGTTGTTTTTTAGATTCCATGTAAAGATGAAATTATAAGGTTTTTTTTTTCTTAGCATAATACCCTCTAGATCCATCCAGTTTATTGTGAGTGGCAAGATTTCATTCTTTTTTTTTTTATATAGCTGGGTAACAGTCCATTGTGCATATATCTCACATCTTTATCCATTCATTATTGATGGACACAGGTTACTTGCATATCTTGGTTATTGTAAATAACGCAATAAATAAAGAGGTGCGTGTATATCTTCAAGTTAGTGTTTTTGTTTTCTTTGGGTGAAGACCGAGAAGTGCAATTTCTGGATTGTATGGCACTTCTATTTTTCATATTTTGAGGGACCTCCATACTGTTTGCCAATTTGCACCAATTTACCAATGTCACCAATTTTTTAACCACTTTTTTTTAGCAAACTTGCACCAATTTACACTCCCACCAATAGTGCACACAGGTTCCTTTTTCTCCACATCCTCACCAATGTTTGTTATTTCTTGCGTTTTTTATATTAACCATCAAACTGTAATATTTTAATACTTGATAGTCTTTTATTGATGATCCTGTCATACTTCTCTGCAAAAGAATATGGAAATTTAAATTAATATTTACTTTTCTATAGCTAAAAGCTCTAAGTGTTAAAGTTTTTTTTATGGATTAAATTCTCATAATCATTATTCATATGTGATTGATAAAACCACCTAAAGATATTACAGTTCGCCCTTGAACAACACAGGCGTTGGGGTACCAATCGCCCTTGCAGTTGAAAACCCATTTATAAGTTTTGACTCCCCAAATCCTTAACTACTAATAGCCTACTGTTGACCAGAAGCCTTACCGATAACACAAATAGTTGATTACCATATGTTTTATGTGTTATATGTACTATATGCTATATTCTATAAAGTAAGCTAGAGAAAAGAAAATGTTAAGAAAATTATAACTAAGAGAAAATATATTACAGAACTGTACTGTGTTTCTCTGAAAAAAATCCGCATATGAGAGGACCTATGTATTTCAAAGACATGTTGTTCAAGGGTCAACTGTAGATGTTTGGCAAAGCGTTTTTAGATATTGAAAGTCATTTATTGGAAATGTATCCTTTAATCATCTCTATTGGGCTTTTTAAAAATTAGTTCAGATGTCTATAAGTGAGATTATTGCTGGCATGAGACAGGGTTCAGTGAAAAATACAGCAAAAAGAAGGGATTTAGAGTAGAATCCATAACACATTCCCATTAAATTTATCAAAATTTTATAGGTATGTGGTGGTGATAAGAACAAAGAAACTATTGGTAAATAAGAGCAAGGGAGAGGCTTCAGTCCAAGTAAAAGTGAATATTATCTATGTACCTAATAATCACTTGGCAAAAGTTGATAAAAAAAACATTTCTCCTACACATCTGGATTAAGATTTGTTAAGAAAACACAGAATTTACTCTTGATATGGAACTCTTTTACTTGGAAATACAATGTTAATTGTCAGAAGGTGGACCTTCCACTTCCTTCCCCCTGAAATAATGCAAAATATGTAGCTAACAGGCGTCCTTGATAAAGGAGGGGTTCTCCAATAATAATATACTGTGGTATTTCAAATTGCCCCTTTGGAACATTTGAGGCTTTTCTTTAAGTTTTTATTTTTAAGTAATCTCTATGCCCAACAAAGGGCTCAAACTCACAACCCCAAGATCAAGGGTGGCACACTCTTCCGACGGAGCCAGCCAGGTGCCCCCTATTTGAGGCTTTTTGAGTTAAACGTACGGCACTTACAATGATGCCTGGCACTGAGTGTCTTGGTCTGTTCGGGCTGCTACACCTACCATGGACTGGGTGGCTTATATGTGACAGGAATTCATTCTCACAGCTGTGGAGCCTGGAAGTCCAAGACTGCAGTGCTGTCAGATTTGGTGTCTGGTGAGAGCCTGGCTTCCTGATTCTCTCCAGATAGCTGTGTTCTCTCTGGGTCCTCACTTGGTTGCAGGGGTGAGGGAGCCCTGTGGGGCCATTTTCACAATGATACAAATCCCATTCATGACCTAATCACCTCCCAAAGGCCCCACTTCCAAATCGCTTTGGGGATTAGGTCTCAACATATGAATTTGCAGGGGGTGGGGGTGCGGGGGGTGTCTATACCACTATTTGAAAGGAGAGCCGGAAGGCAGAAAGCAGGACAGCAGGTACCAGCCCTGTCGCCCTATGAGAGAGGACATATGGACTTGAAGCAGATGGAAATTGGGGGCCTTAAAACTCTGAGAGCTCCTTTAAAAGTCCTCCTGTGACGCCAGGTATCTCAGCCTGATGACCACGGCCTTAACACCACTCCTCAGTAAATGAGCTGGTATTTGAACCTAAGTGTGCACAGCTGGGAATGCCCAGCAGGTGGCCCTGCAATCCATTTGTTTTTGGGTAAAGGAAGCTTTGCAGATCACTACAAGCAAGGAATCTGATCTTAGCTTAGGAGCTAAGTCAATAGTTTTTCTCTTCTCTGCCGGACTGTTTAGGAACAGGGACGCCATGAAAGAACACAAGGGAAGAGGTATGTGGACGGTTGGCCAGAGGTTGGGTGTTTCAGAAAGAGAAGTGATGTGACTTATTCTGAGAATTTAAGGAATATAAGCATTATGCAAGTCACTGCTGATTATAGACCCACTCATGAAAGCATTAGATCCTACTTCCAATTACCATAATTTCCAGTTCCCAGCACGAGTCAGATCTTATTATCCAGAATCTCAGTTCTGTGTCACTCAGCTTAACTAAACACACAGCCATGGGAGCACCCATCACACTGGAAAATTGAGAATTGTCCTTGGCACAGAGGCCGCATGGGAGAAGGTAATTATTCTCCAGCACTGCAGATGCAGAGACATACTAGGTAAGTACAGTAAGAGAGTACCTGCCACATAGGGCAGCTTGCAGAAGAAAGCAGAATACGAGGAGGCCAGGAGGGAGCAGCTACACATGACCTGCATGGCTCCCCATTTCTTTAGCCGGAAGCGGGTGGTACAGTCCAGTCTCCCCCAGAACTGGCCTCCTCTCTTGCCCTGCTTTCCTGCCCATGGCATCCGCCAATCCCTTTCTCCTGCACAAAATGTTTGCATTTCCTCTGACCTGCAGGGCGTTCAGGATTAGAATGTCTGTCATCTACTGCACCCCATTGTTTGTGACAGGAGCCAGGGAGCCCGGGAGATAAGGTTCATAGGGAAGTTTTCAATTTCTCTCATATTTTGGCTTCTGTCTTGCTGTCTCTGATCCCAGGGGAGCGTAAGGTCTGTAGGGACTGGGGCTCTAAGTAACCCCTGCCTACGGTTAAGGGTTAGATTCTGTAGTTCTGGCTTTTTGGCTTTTGTTGTCAGGTCTGGGCACTATGATCAGTATGTTCTCTGTTTTATGGCAGGCATTCTTAGCCTTGTGTTTTTCACTAAAGATGGGGTTAGGCAGCCGTGTGTCTGAACAGGACCCGTTTTGTCAGTTTAATGCCAGATATTATTTTTTAACATTTGGTGTTTCAGAGGTAAATCTTTGTTAATGTGCTAGAGCCACACATAGATCTTCTCAATCTAACACTTTTAGAAAGAATGTTCTGAAAGTCACGGCTGTGTCATACCAGCTCAAAGCTGTAACTAAACACATTGAACTTGAATCTCAAGTACTGACAAGTCCAGTACCTGGCATACAGTAGGCACTCATTAAGAATTGAAGAGTGAACAGACAAGTGAATGGATGCATAAAGTGATTCCTTCTTCTTTCCTTTCCTCCCCTGCCCTGGATTGCTCTCAAACAGTTGCACTTTATAGCTATAGTGAGTTGGAAGGAAAGTTAGAACGCTCTCCCTTCCCCCCCTGGTTGTCCTGCATTGTGAAGCAAAATTATATGTTTACTGGAAAGGCTCGAGACTCCATCTCACAGTTGCTTACTCATCATCTGAGGCTGGACCTCTGAATAAATACCTAAAATTCCACATTGGCAAGTTTTAAATGTCTGTAGGCAATCTAATGCAATGACAATTCCATCCAAGGCAAAAAAAAAAGTCCAAGATCCTCCCAACCCCTGAAAGATTTCAACACAAACCCAAATTTCTGCCATATACATGTTTGTTGGACAGGGGAAACAGGCCCCTTCTCAATTCCTTAACAGCTTTTGAGATGCTATGGCCAGATATCAGCTGGGTGTGTGACAGTGTTTAAATGGCTTCCAAATGCTTTTGAGTTTGGAAATGCAGAAACCCCATTAGAAAGTACTGTTTCCAAAACTTGTGATGTTTAATCGTTCACAGAGCACATTTCCATTCCTTATCTCATCTGATCCTCAGAGCAAACAGTGAGACGGTATTTTCTCCCTCTGTGTCCTGCTACCGCTGTTCCTTTTTCTCAACATGTATCACGTGCTTTGAGGGTCGAGTGCGATGACAAAGAAGACAAACCTCTTCCGTCCACGGTTGTGGCAGCATCACCCTGTTTCTTACCAAAAAACCCCTGAAAGACAATGGAATCCATGAATTTTTGCCTTAAAAAAAAAAAAACACCACGACTTTCTCTTAGTATACAAAAAAGTTAACTTTGACAGAATTTCCAGTTTCTTTTTTATTGTGGTAAGAATGCTTACCACAAGATCCATTCTCTTAACAGATTCCTGAGCGTACTCTGCAGCACTGTTAACTACGGGCGCGGGGAGCTCTAGAGCCGATTCACCTGGCATGACCGAAAGTTTCTACCCACCCAACAGCAGCTTCCATTGCCCTCTCCCCCAGCCCCTGGCGTCCACCAACCTACCCGCCGTTTCTGTGCGTTCGACGACTTTAGATACCTCCCGTAAGTGGATTTGTGCAGCACTGGTCCTGCCGTGTCTGGCTTATTTCAGTCAGCGTCACGCCCTCCAGGTTCATCCATGCCGTCCCAAATGGCAAGATTTTCTCTTCTTTCTTTCTTTTTTTTTTTTTTTAAGATTTATTTATTTATTTATTTATTTGAGAGAGCGAGAGCGTGCACGAGTGGGAGGGGCGGACAGAGAGGGAGAGAGAATCCCCAGCAGACTCCACGCTGAGCCCAGAGCCCAATGCGGGGCTCGATCTCACAGCCCTGAGATCATGACCTGAGCCGAAATCAGGAGTCAGATGCCTAACCAATTGAGCCACCCAGGTGCCCCAGGATTCCCTTTTTTTAATGCCAAGTCATATCCCATTGTATATATCACCTTCTCTTTATCCATTCATCCATCAGTGTATATTTTGTTTGCTTCAAAAAACTTAAACTAGTATTACCATAGGATGCAGTAATCCCACTTCTGGGTATTTATCCAAAAGAATTGAAATCAAGATCTTGAAAAAATATCTGTGTTCCTCGGTTGAATGGAGCATTATTCACAATAGCGAAGATGTGGAAACAATCCAAAACGTATTTCAATTACCTTTGGCCTTTTTAACTGCAGACCTCACAAAGTCCTTCACTCTCTGTACTCTGGAGAGAAACATTAACTTGTCCGAGAAACAGAAACTATGGCATTGCCTTCGTGAGTATGTCTGAAAAACTGGAGAGGGAGTCGAGGTCACATGATGACCCACCAAATGGAGGGAAATCCGCAGAAGGTTGAGAGTCTTGCAAGACGCACGGTTGGCAGGGCTAGCCCGCCCCCACGCCAGCACAGGGGTGAGGTTTGGGAACCTGTGGCTCTGGGTCAATGATGCCACGGTAGAAAGGTCTGGAATAAGGGACAGGGAGGACTGCTTATCAAGCTCACTTGCTGGGTTTCTGCTTACACGTATATCTTTATTACAACACTGATGTGGAGAAAAACAATTGATTTTTCATTTTAGTCTTGTAATCTGTGTAAATTTCCAAGTGCTGTGAGAATTTCAAACTGATTTTGGAGCTTTGCAACCAAGAATGCTAACCGGGATTTGTCATCCTTTACAAGGTAACCAAGTGTCAGGACTCCCCTCCGAGCCGGTGATGAGCCTTCTGGGGTTACGTCCTCTCTCAGCTGCGAGAATACCACTGTCCATTTCTCACTGATACTTAAAAATACCCAAATATTTAAGGATTATATTCACTAATTAATCAAGAAAGAACTTTTTAATGTTTCAGCCTGTGCCCCCACTCCTCAGCTTGCACTGATTATTTAGAAAGGATCCAAATGCTGAGTTTAATTAAAAGCACACGACACTTACTGCAGCTTACCTCAGATTTAAAATAAAGGGTATAAAACATAACAGACACATGTGTGCTCACCACAAATTATACCCACTTACTGATAACTCACAGTGTGTTTCTGCCAAAACAGCTCTCAGGGGTTGTATCTAGTGGTCCGTGATCTTTACATTTCTGCCTGTTTTTAGGCTAGTAGGGTTTATTCTTATGATGTAAGGACGGCTGGGGGATAAGAGTTTCATTTCCCCTTTTTGTGATCAACAGACTCTCCTGTTACCTTTGCATGTCTTATTTGAGAAGGATTGCTTATATTGGGGGGACTTACTTTAAAAATTCATCATTTGTTGACATTTCACTGGTAGTTTGAAGCTATTTTCCCCGGCTTGTTTTTCATGTGAGGGGTGGTGGTGGGGGGAACCTATCCTGTTTCAGAATATAAACAGCATTAAAACCCTTGGCGAAGCAAAGGAAAGTTGAAACCGCTGAACGTTCCAGCACATATCAAGAGTTCTGTGTGTTTTAGGTGATAGCAATCTGTCCACGGGCTGGAGGAGCAGAGGATTGGGGGGGGGAGTGGAATGCACGTCACAGTTCTGTGCCTTGTGTATTTACCGCACAAAAGCTACACACGCACTGGAAAAAAAAATCTCAGTTTCTTCTTCGGACGTAGCAAAATAACCAAATGCACAGAGAAATGCTCAGTTGGGTGACGGCACTTTCTGTCTGTCCTCGGGTATCTGTCATCACCTCCGGTGCCCCAGGTAAGGTTTCAAAACGGTGGCTGGCTCAGAGCGTCCTTTGGAGGTAGTCTAAGGCACCCCAGCGTATTATCGCTCCTGTGCCGTTTGCTTTCAGGTCTTGCCTCTGACTGTGGAACAAAGACCATGTCAGAAAGCGTGGGGCCGTCAGTGCTCAAGTGGGGGATTTGGCCTCTCTGAGAACCATATGTACATGTAGGCTCAGCTACACCTGGGACTTGTTTTTAAATAATTGAATTACACGTGTATTAGTTTCCTGGGGCTGCTGGAACAAAGCACCACAAACGGAGTAGCTCACAAGCACCATGAGAGTGCTCCTCACCCTGGGTCTGGAGGCCAGAAGTCTGAGGTCAAGGCCTCGGCAGCAGTGTGACCCCTATGCAGGCTCCAGGGCAGGATCCTTCCTGCCTCCTCCCGTGCTCCGTGGCATTCCTTGGCATTCCTTGGCTTGCAGCTGCCCGGCTCCAATTTGTGTTTCTGTCTGCACGTGTACCCCTGAGCGTCCTCTCCTCTCTTGAGAGGACACCCCCCACCCATTCCATAAGAACTCCTCCGAGTGAACTGGCTGCAAAAATCTGATTTCCAAATAAGTCCCCCCCTCCAAGATTCCAGGTGGATACGAGTTTGGGGGACGCTAGGCCACCGGTAAGCGTGCATCTTGCAGTCACCTTCTGTGTGCACAGTACCGAAGCCATTCTCCAGGTCCCCTCCTCAAGGAAGCTGCCGCACACTTCATGCACAATGGGTCCCCTCACTCCGGCAGATCAACCCACGGACTCAGCCAGACAGAGCCCCTGGTGATCGGCATCCAGAGCAGTTTCTGGCATCTACTAGTACTTCCAGAAGGAAGAAGAAAAAGAGAAGAAGGAAAGAGGAGGAAAAAATAGAAGAAAAAAGGGGTGGAAAAGGAATACAGACAGAGACGAGACACTGAGGAAGGAGAGGACAAAGCAAGCCCTTGTCTGTTGGGCTCAGGGAGGCTCAAAGCACCTGCTGGCCTGAGAGCGAGAAATGGCACAACTTGCCCATCTAGACGCTGTCTCCGGGCTCGTCTCTGAAGCACAAAAGTGCAGGTGGAACGGTGCCAGGCTTCACTCAGCTGGGATCCGGGTGCTTGTGCAGTGGGGCACACAGCCCACGGTTACCGCCCCTGCCTGCGCGTGGGCAGCAAGCTCAGGCCCTCCGGGAAAGAGCTGTGAGTGCAGGGGAAGCTTTCTAGAACCCAGTGAATGTAGAGCACTCGAGTCCTTCCTGAGGGTTTAAGGCCACCATACCTGCTATTCACAAATGACAGCACAAGGATGGCTGCACGTTCAGCGCGTGCCTGGTTCAGCGGTGCCCCACAGAGCCGCCTGTGATGGAACCTTTCAGCCCAGTCGGAGACGGTCTGTACCGTGAAATCAACGAACTGTGCGGTTCGGGGATCCTCTGCCACATTTGTAAGTATCCACTTCTGCACCTGATTTTTTTTTTTTTCATAATTTTGTATCTCTTTTCTTCAGGAGAACTTGTAAATTCCAGATCCTTCAGGCCCCATAAACTGGGGGCCAGCCTGGGCTAATGAAGGATGGTTAGAGCTGCCCGGAACCACCAGGCAAAACGTTCAAGGCCCACCCAGCCCTGGGTCCCAGCTGCTGCCTCAGATCATTCCAGAAGACATGTGGGTTTCATTCCAGAGGCTTCTGCTGTCTCCTTGTGATTTCTAGTGTGCTGCCTAATTTTAAAAACCCACTTCGCTTTTCACCATACTTAATTTTACAGAAAATAAAATTGAAGAAACCAATCAGCATGTATGAATCAGCAATCTCAAGATTACTTTCAGCAGGCTCCTGATTATCTTCAGGAAGTACATCTCCTCATGGAAAAATCCCCTGGGCAGCTTTCAAAACCCCATCATCTCCCTGTAGGCTTCTAGTGGTTCCGGTGTAACTGGTCTGGGATGCAGCCTGAGCATCGAGATTCCTGAAGCTCCCAAGGCCCCTGGGTTGGGGGCCACTGATAGGATCCAAGTTTGTCTACCTAGTGTGCCTGTGTCATTGGGAGGGGCTGTCGGGGGAAAGACGTGAGGGGGCTTCTGGGCACTTTCGGGAGGGTGATGGGCCATGAGGAGCCAGGGGCACAGCGGGCAGGTGGGAAGCAGGGCTTCTTGTCCCTGCCACGTTTCCTTCGGGCCCTGTGTATGAGATGCCTGTGGAGGGATCCAGCGAGCACTCGAGCAAGGGAATGGGGCGGGGAGGGGGTCTGAGCACCTGTGGGGGATGAACAAGGGCCAGCCCAGGGGACTGCTTTTCTGCAGGTGCTGTGGCAGAGCGGGTTGGGAGCCTCTCCTAAAGCCTGCACCCTAAGGCCAGCAGCATCCTGGCACCCAAGCCCCCAACATCAGCTCCCGGAGGGGACCTTGGTGTCTTCACAATGTGCAAGGCTTTGCTGAGGGATTCTTCAGGCAGCAGGTGTTGGAGCTGAGGGTGAAGAATCCCAGGGTGCTGCCTGCAGCCAGTGGACGGTGTGGGGCCCGAGGTCACCTCGTCAGAGATACTGATGATGCCACAGGGTAGGCAAGCTTATAACATTGAGCAGAGCAGGGTATTGTGCCACAATAATAAATACAAAGAGGAAGTGTGTCCCTGTTTTGTAATCCCAGTGTGCTAAGACCTGAGACACAGGGCGACTTTAATGGGAACTTCTTTCGGTCTGGTGGATTCAAGAACTCCCTCAGTACAACTCAAGACAAAGTTTCCAATTAAAGCTGTTATTGAACAGATGGGGTCCAGTTGTTAAATGCTACCGGGAACACTGAACAAAGTTTTATTCCCCTTTAGAACATTGGTCTCCTGTTGGGCGAACATAGGCAAGATAAATGAGGCACTGAGTTCAAAGACGCAATCTGTTCATGGGTTATTCCGCAGG